GCTCAGGCTGGGAGAGGCTGGACCGTGGGCACCCTTGTCATCAGATGGCAAGGTGAACATTTAAGTTCTTTCCTGAGCTGGGCACCCCTAGCAAGGTGGGGTTTGGTAGCAGGGGCAGCAGTAGCTAGCCACCAGACTAGTTCTGGGCATCCCAGATGAGGAATATGGCCAGGATGCCCAGGTGTGTCCTCCCATCCCCCTACATCCTCCCCCTTCTTTATCCATACCCACACCTACACCCACACCTCCCACACCCACTCTGGGTTTCAGGGGGCAGGCAGGTCTGGGCACTGAGCTGGACAGGATCCCTTAATGCCACCAGTGAGCAATCAGGAGAGCCACCCATGCCCCGCCTCTTTCTCCAGCAATAACACCCACACCTCACTGGAAGGCCTCAGTGACTCCTGAGAGCCTTGAGCCTGTGGCCTTTATTCTGCAGACCAAAACCACAACCATGTCACTGCGAGACTGCCAGGTATGCGCACCCACTCCGCTGCATCCTCCTGGGTCCGGGAGTTGGTCCAGGGCCCAGCAGTCGGGAGCAAACCTGCTGCTGGTCACCCGGTCAGGACGGCTGGGGACCCAGTCCTGAGCATGCTGTGTCTCTGCAGCTGAGGGTGGGGGCGGGGGACCGCCAAGTTGTTCCCAGGCAGGGCACCAGAGAAAGCTCGTGCACTGGGCTTGGCTCCAGGAGGCGTTTCCTATGAAGCCACCCAGGACGGGGACCTTGCGTCCATTTTTCAGACGAGGAAGATGAAGGTGGGAGCAGACAGGCACCTAATTTCCAAGTCCTTGGAAGTGCAGCCCTGTGCTGGCCAGGACTCAAGGTCATGTCCCACACCCTAGGGAGACACTGGCCTGTGCACCCTGAAAGTCAGGACACTGAGGGCCGCTATTATAATCTGAAGGATTTCCAACCTGTCAGATTCCTCCCACACAGTGGGTGAGGACTGTTAGGTGTCGGCAGGGAGAACACACCTTGCTAGGCAGGTGACAAGCCAGACATCCTTTGAGATGCACACCCAGGGCCCACCTTCCCATCAGTCCTGGTAATGAGACTCCCACTTACTGTCTCCCATTTCCTGGCTGACACTTGGACTCACCTCGCTGGGTCCTCTTAGATATTTTACAGAGGGGTAACCAAGGGTTTGGGGGCTCAGCCCAGTAACACCCACTCACCCTCCCTTCCCCCGGTGTTCCTTCCCTATTGTGTAGGCGTGGAAGGATGCTGGTCTCCCGCTCTCAACCACAAGCAATGAAGCCTGCAAACTGTTTGATGCCACCCTGACCCAGGTACACCCACCAAGAGACTCGTGTCCTCCTTGAAGGGTTCTGAGGAGGAATTTCGATTGGCGAATGGTCTGTAAATCCCATCACAGTAAAGAGCTGCGCTTTACCACCGAGATCCAACAACATGGGGAGTGTCTCTGCCAGCCCCAGTGGCCCTTTTCCCAAGATCCCCAGTTGCAGGGTAGACAGCAATGGATGACCCCAGGGGTCTGAAAATACTCAGCCTCCACGGGTGTCCCACTGTGGCCTACTGGGGTTTGTTGTGAGCTCTGCCCTGAAGACATGGGGTCCAGTCCTGAGGCTCATCTCCAGTTAGCTGGACCAAGACCTTCCACCCGTTCCCAGGCACTTCCACACCAGTGAAGAATCCTGTAGTTCAGGGACTTGGGGGCTTCTGGGAGAGGGGACAAGGTCTCAGAAGGAAGGTCAAGTGGCTTTTTTTTTCTAGGTGGGATAATGGAGGCTCAGAGAATTGAGCTGCCTTGAGTCAAATGTCACCCAGTCCATCCGAGGCAGAGCCAGGGTACACCTGAGTCTGCAGACAGATACAAAAAAAAGCTGCCTTTCAATCTCTGGTCTTTGTGTCTCTAACTGTAATGACCACGGGCCACCATCTTTGTGCTTGTTTGGGTCACACACTGTAGCCCAGACTGGCCGGGAACTCAGCAAGCGTCCTGACTCAGTCCCCCTGTTGTTGGCATTATGGATGTGAGCCGCCATGCCTGGCTTACTGTGGTTATTTTCGAGAGAAATGAAGCAGGAATTGTGTAAGTGACTCCAGGGCTCTTCTTGGCGTGGAAGAAAGGGACATGCTGTACCTCATTTCTTGGAGAGGACCTGCTTTTTCCCCACAGTTCTTTTCCTGCAGTGGGCATTCCTGCCCTAGGAGGTGTCTCCTAATCCTGCGTATTCAATCTCATCCTAGAAGGCCAATTAAGTTATGCCTTCTTTGAATTAGAGTCCAGAAAATGCTCAGTGTTCTAGAAAGAAAAATAATTCAGATCTAGGACTCCTGTATACATAGAGCCTACGTGAGACCCCAAGTTTGATATTCAGCACGCCTGACAGAAAAAAATCGGAGTTTAGATACACCCCCTGATTGATACAGTCTAGGGCTCTGTGAGGACAGACTTGTTTTTTGTTTTTGTTTTTGTTTTTTTTATTTCTCACTCCAGTTTATCAAGTGGACCAATGACAAGAGTCTTGGTGGCATTGACGGCTGCCTGTCTAAGCTCAAGGCAGCAGATCCAACCTTTGGTGAGTAAAGCTCTCCCTAGGGAAAGGAGCTCCGTTCACATGCCCTGACTCTAGGGACTCACGTGGTTGGAGGGACACAGTGACTGGGCTGACACTTGCACAGAGGAGGGATGATGACAGCTACTGTGGAACAATGGCTGCTCCCATGAGGATGCCATTTCCTCAGAAGGTTCTAGATCTTTTCTCTAACTATCATCAGTTTGACAGAAGACATCATCCCCACATCTTAGATGGGGAAACTCGGGCTCAGGCAAAGAGAGATGCCAACCTGAGTCTAGCCAGCTGGAAAGCCCAGAATCCTAGAACCCTAGAGATGGCTCCTGAGACCTTTGTCAGGGATCTCAGGACTCGGGACATCTCCAGAGCCACCAGAGCTGGGTGGAGATGGGAGACAGAACCTGGCTCATGGGCAAGCCTTGTGTGTAGTGGGGCTGGGGGAGGTCAATTCAGAACATTTCAGAATCCAAGAGGGGTAGCCCAAGTGTGGGGTGAGGTTCCTGGCATTTGAGAAGACTTATAAAATGAAGATGAAGATGGTTGTTAGGGACATTTTTTTATTTCTTTCTTTTTTTCATTTATTTACTTTTTTTTTTTTTTTTTTTAGATTTATTTATTATGTTCTGTCTGAATGTACCTCTGACTGCCGGAAGAGGGCACCAGATCTCATTACAGATGGTTGTGAGCCACCTTGTGGTTGCCAGGAACTGAACTCAGGCCTCTGGAAGAGCAGCCAGTGCTCTTAACCTCTGAGGCATCTCTCCAGCCCAGAGACATTCTTCATACATGCAGCAGCCTAGCTAAAGCCAAGGGCCCTATTAACCTGGCAGGGACAGAATTAGGAGACCCAGAGAAATGCAGGGCATTCCAAATGCAGCCTCAGGGACAGCTAGTGGTCAGAGAGACTCAGGCTATAAGCAGGGTCCAATAGCTGGGCTGGGGGTGGGTATCCTAGTACTATGGTTCTTGTCTCCAGGCCAGTGTCCTTGATTGAGTTCCTCCAATCAGGGCACACCCTGCCTTTCTGAAGAATGGGCTGGGAAACATGGGTAGGCCTGGACCTCAACACCTTCAGTTAGGACCACCCATCCCATCATCACGTGTGAGGGCAGGGAAATGGGATCACAGTCTGTGCCCCAGGGCCTTGTTGATTCAGCTCCCTGAATGGCTTTCACTGAGCACCCCAAGAGGTCTGGACTGGTTGTGGGAATAATACCAACCAGTGAACTGGATCACAGCTTCTGCCAGGCTCATGAGGGCCCAGGGAACTACTTCAGACATCGGGGTCCAACAGAAGGCCAGGTAAAGAAATAACCTCGGGTACTTAGAAGTAGCAGTTGCCCCCTCTGCCTTCTGAAGTAGAGCTGAGATCCAGGTTTTGATAGGGGCCTCACACACAGTGAACCTGTACCCAGCATGGCTCACACCTTATAGAATGTGGGGCTGGACTAGGCTGAGTGACCAGCTGTTTTCCAATCTTCTGCCAGCCATGGGTCATGCCATCTCTAACGGCCTTGTGCTCATTGGCACGGGAAGTTCCGTGAAGCTGGACAAGGAGCTGGACCGGGCTGTGAAGACGATGGTGGAGATCTCCAAAACCCAGACTCTGACACCTCGGGAGCAGCTGCATGTGTCTGCAGTGGAGACGTTTGCCAAGGGGTGAGGAGCCTCCCTGGGCTGGGGGGTTGGGACACTAAGCTTGTGCAAGGTGATGCCTCAGAGGTTGAGAGTCTCACCAGCCTGCTCTGCCCCAAATTGAATGCTGAATGAAGACGTATTTAGCAAGGGTTTCCAGTTTATGGTTCATAAAAAGCTATGGTTCATTCACATGGTTATTATTTTAATCACCACATCTAGGAGAGAAAAGGAAACAATTGACCCATTTGTTTCTGCCCTGAAGGCTGTGTTTGTCAGCTTTCTGTTGTTGTAACAAAATACCCGAGACAATACATTTATCAAGAAGAAAGGTTTATTTTGGCATATGGCTTGGGAGACTTCAGTCCTTGGGCACTTACCCTACTGGTCTTACTTCTTGGTAGTAATAGGTAGTAGAGGAGGCTGCTCACCTCATAGCAGCAAGTGAAGTTAAGACGGGACTGAGGTCCTGATGTTCCCTCCAAGGGCATGCTTCCAGGGACCTAACTGAACATCACTGGGCCCAAACTCTAGAAGGGCACCCTACTTCCCAACAGCACCACAGGCTGAGACACCCAGCTCACCACATGCAGGTCTTTAGGGTTTGTTCAGGATTCCAACACTGTGTGCCCCAGCTCCATACCTTCCAGATGGTTCCCTGTCTCCATTCCCACAGTCCTCCAGGGCAGTCCCATTGCTTATACAGGTGAGATGTTCTTAGAACAGATACCTAAAGCTGATTGTAGAGTTGCAGGGGCTTAGTCCAAGAAAGTCCCACCAGTTTCTAAGGACTCAGTGTAGATGTGGGGTTCTTGAGTGCCTCGTGGTGTTGGTGCAAACTGTCCTTGACAGTTGGTTAAGTCTCCCCGGACTGAATGATGGCTCAGCTGTTAGGGTGCTTGTGACACAGGTTTAAGGATCTGAGTTCACATGCCCAGCACCCAGGCAATAAGCCAAGCATGGTGATGTGTACTGTAGCCTTGGGGAGGTGGAGACAGACAGATCCCTGGCACTTATTGGCCTACCTACCAGTCTGGCTGAATTGGTGAGGTCCAGGTTCAGTGAGAGACTATGGAAATTAGGGGAGATTACTTGAAGGAGACACCAGATGTTGACCTCTGGCCTGCCCATGCATGCATGCACACACTCACTCGTGCTTGCATACACACACACACACACACACACACACACACACACACACACACACAAAATCCTGGTTTTCTCTTTCTTCTTCTTTGAAGACTTATTTATTTTTATATTTTTTTATATTATGTGTCTTGAGTGTTTTCCTTATATGTATGT